CAAATGGTTCTTTTGTTTCCCAGGGCTGGAAAGAGAGCTTTCATGAGGAGATGGAGTTTCAAGAGTCCTATATAAAGTGTCCATTGTATTAAGCTATTTATTTACTTTATAATTATTAAAATATCTAGCCATTCATCATTATTTCTATGATGAAGATTCGTGTTGTATAATGAATGTTTGTTTTGAAATATAATTAAATTTCACAAATGTCAAAAGATGCTTCACTCTTTAACACATACTATCTGTGCTGAAAGCCAGGCATGGTCCAAAACTAGGATAGCATGTGAAAGCATGATATTAGTGGTAGAAATCTGTGAGAAATATCACAGGCTTTGCAGATAGACCTCTGCTCCAATCATGCTGTGCTTCATACAGAAGTTACTCAGCTTCTCTGATTCGTAGTATCCTCATCCATGAAGTTGAGTCTAGAAGTACTCCCTGATTAATTTGTAAGCATGAAGACAATGTAAAACAACTTAAAACTTCACAGTGGCAATAAGGATGTAAAATTTGTCTGTGTTCTTTTTCTTCTTTAATTTTACACATTAATTAATAATACATTAAATGTTCTTGGGAACATTTAATAATAATCATCATTTATGCTCTCATTTTATGTCAGATATAAGTATTTGTCTTGCCAAGAATTCAACTTCATGTTTGATTATAAGACTGTTAATTAAAAAACATTTCCTCTTTTTGATAACACATACATTTAAACACAAATCTACTCGGAAACTGAGTTCATAGTCCACTGTAATTGCAATAACAGCATATGCAAATCTAACCATATTATGAAATATCAAGATAACTAACAATAAGCAGGTAATTCAGATTTTTGAAGGCAAACCAGTGTGGTCAAGAGGGGAGAAAATCAACATAAATGTGAGTGAAGTACTGTTTGGTTCCTTTTTTCCTTTTACAAACTAATATTTCTTACAATCATTTTTGGCTTTTGTTAAATATAAGGGAGTTCAGCTTTGAATGTTTCCCAAAGTGAGTTTCATGGGAGAGTTCATTTCATCTACAGTATTCCCAGGAAGTCTGTGGTTAATGATGTGCTCCTTTGCACGCCTCGCAGTCAATGGTCCAGTTGAAGAAAGAGAAGCATCCATTGGTTCCTGGCATTCCAGCTCCATCAGTGTAGTTCTGGCAGCCTGTCCATCAACAGCACAGAGTGCAGAAGATTAACCTGAACCTCAGTGGCTCCACCCCCAGAGAAAATGGGACAGGAGGTGTTATATAAATCAAGCTGGCTTTTGAATTTAATATTCTATTCCCACTACTCCAAGAGTGTGGATGCATTAAAGTAGGTGAAAGCCCACTGAGCCACTGAAAAAGAGAAATGAAAATGTGAATATCAAGTAAAACTTAGGTTTTCCTGCTTTTATGCTTTTCTTTTTGCATCAGGTTCACACAGGACAAAGTAAATGGACAACTTAATTTAGCAATTGGCCGGTTCCTTTCATTAATGGAGTGATTTTTCTAGTGAAACTTGGAATTTCACATTGTGTCATGGGATTATGAGTTATAATATAAAGTTAACATATAATATATTAATATATGAAGTTTCACTTGCACTTAATGACAGTGCTATCTAACAACCAGAATACCAACAATGATACAATCAAGGTACAGAAGATTTCCATCACTCTGAAAATGCCTCGCCTTGCCCTTTTAAAACCACACCCACTTCCTTCCAGAACCCACCTTCACCACGGATCTGTTCTCCACTTCTCTAACTTTGCCATTTCAAGAATTTGGGAGTCTTCAGCCCCTATTTCTTCTAGTAGTTTTCAGCTCTTCTCTCTTCCTCCTCTCCTCTGGGACTCTGATGACTCACAGTAGATCTTTTATTGTCACCCCATGTGTCCCTGAGGCTCTGCCATCTGTTCCATATCTTTTCTCCGTGTTATTCAGATTGGGTAATATCTGTTCCATCTTCCAATTCACTGATTCTCTCCTTTGTGTCTTCCATTCTGCTGTTCAGCCCATCACCAACCTATTCTATTTCAGTTATTGTTTTTTTCGGTTCTGAAATTCCCATTTGGTTCTTCTTCATATACACTGTTTCTTTGCTGAGCTTTTCTGTTTTTTTTTTGTAATTGTTCCTTGAAGAGTTTTTTTTCTCACAACTGCTTTAAAATCTTTGTCCAACAATGCTAACATCTTGGGTATCTTGTGTTAGCATCTGTTGATTGTCTTCTGTCATTCAGTTTGAAATCTTCCTGGATCTTGGTATCATGAGTGATTTTCCACTGAAACCTGGATAGTTTCATATTATATTATGAGACTATGGGTTATAATACAAACTTAATATATAAATATGAATATATACATTTTCATATATAAAGTTAAAACCTTCTGTTTCAACTGTGCCACTTTATAACTGCCAGGTGGAAGTAGAAGTTTCAGTGTTCCAAGAACAAGGAGGAAAATGTACAGGGTGGGAAAAATACAATGGTTACCTGATACGTTACTACTCAGTTTTTGGGTGACTTGTAATGCTTACCTTTCTAAAATATATCTTTTCAGCAATTGTGTTTCTTAAAAAAGGCAGAGAAAGTGGAATAACATTCTAATCATTTTATCTCTTTGTTCAACATTTTGTCTGCAGGTTTTTTCATTGAGTCACTACTCTGTGTTAGAACTGCGGTAGATACCGGGAACACATTGGTGAAAAATACACCATCCTTTACTCAGGAAGCTCACAAATCTGTATTGAAAGTTATAGGGTTAGGTTTGATAACTGGGTAAAAAGATTGGGATTTTTGTTTAAAATCATATATTTGTACAGTATCTTAAATCTGAAAATTAAACATACACTGAATTCATGTGAATATACTGTATTTTTAACAGGAATAGTGCTTTTCTTTCTTTTTGCTTAACTATGTTTCTTTTCAAGCTTTTAGAGTGACTATGACAACATGTATCTATATTTTATAATGAGGAGGGTGGTAAGAATCAAGGTTTGTTTGTTTGTTTGTTTTAAACTGAAATTTCGTAAACTGGCTTGTCTCTAATTCCCTTTACAGCAGCCAGTAGAACCTTGAAAATATTCAGGTACTTATTTTCAAGGGAGATAAATGTAGGTAGTCATTACAATTTACATTTCACTGTTAGCTTTGCTCTGATATTAAAGACCCTGGAAAGTGACTTAACCAAAAAGTGGGACTCCAAGATGAATAATGTCCTGGTCAAGAGAGACAGTGGAGTGGGGAAGACAGGACCTGAGAATCTGAGTCTATCTAGTGCTTAGTGGGTGACTCTAGACATTTAAACTTCAGAATTTCAGTTTCTTCTACTGTCAATCTCCTGATTTGTAGACCTCTGAAGTGGGTCTGAGAGCATCAGGGAGAAAACAACACATAAAGAAGCACGTTATCAACTCAACACCCAGTATCAAGATGAGCTTCTAATGGTCCCCTGCCGTAAGGTAAGTTTATCTTCAAATAAGCCTCCAAAATTATCAGCTCTTGGGCAGTTTCCTAAGTAGTGACAGAAAATCACAGAAGGACCAGGTGGGTGGAAACAGAATTTGGATGAAGGTAATGTAGACTTCAGCTCATTCCTAGAACAGGTGTATGCTTTCAGGTGTAGTCTCTGAAAACCCAGTTACTCTTCCAAAATGCTGAGACCCATTTATCTTATTAAGGGCTCATAACACAAGTTTTTAGTTCAATGCAACAGACATGGGGAGCACATTTCATTGGCCAAGCAGTTTTGCCAGATTCTAGATATAAAAAGATGAATTAAAATACAGTTCTTAATCTCTTTGGACTGGGGCAGTTGAAATTTATCAGCATAACACAAAACTAATCCTGTCCTTGAAAATAGATAAATTTACGATTTTTTTCTTTCAATACATGATCTCTGTGGTACGATAATCTGGATTTTTAAATTTTGAAACAATGTTTTATCGTTAAGAAAGTCATCTAAATTAAAGGAAATAAGCAAAATAGAATCCTCTAAAGTCAAATCGTTAACGATTTCTGCGTGTGGTTGAAAATCTTTTAAGAAATAGGTAATTACAAAAATCCTGGTTCCCCATTCAGTTATTATATATGCTTATATAATATATAACCATGTATAACATAATATGTTAACATAATTTAAACTTAATTTTAAACCTCTATTACCTGTAAGGAGAAACGGTGCCGTGTGCTTGCCTCCCTACAATGAAATTTGCTCTGTGAATGCTGGGTCTTGACTAAGATGCAATGTTGTCAAATTCTAGGTATTTACATGGAAAGGGAATAAAACATTAAGAAAAATTTCCTTTTTGCATTTACTGGAGGGAACACCAAGGGCCGTTTTAAGGCTCTAGAAGTGCTACATAAATCCCCCCAAAGAGGTTGTAAGGTGTTAAACAAAGGAGAACACCAACCACAAGAAAAAATCATCATAGAAACGGGGAGAAATACACTTCCTGGCTCGGAAGCTCTTAAAAGTCCTGAGCCAGGAAACCTCCCGCACTGGGGCGGGGACTGTCTTTGGCTCTCCAGTGACGCCCTGCCTTGCCGAGTTTCCCTCAAGTTTTCCCTCTGTCTCTCCTCCATTCCCCGCCTCTGTCCCTAAACAGCCGCAGGAGAGTACCACTGAGTGTACCTGAGTCGGTCAGTACGAATCAGCCTCTGATGCACGTTTATTTTAAAAGCCCCGCTTTTAAACCTAAGATAGGCCATATTTGCAGGCAAATTTCAAACGGCGCCTGGAAGCTCATTTTATAAATTGGGGGGCCAAGCCTGTAGAAAAGCAAGAGTAAAATACAGCCAAGAGGACGCTCCTTCGCTCAAAACCGTTCACCGGCGACGCGAGGGCCTGCGCGGAGGCGGAGGCGGGGGCCGGAGCCCCGAAAAGGCGTGCTGCCCCTTTAAAAGGCCGCGCATCTCGGGCCGGCCTTCCTCCCCGGGGCTCCAGCTGTGATTGACGCTGGGCGGCGAGAGGAGGCGCCTGGCGCTAACAAAAGTCCGGCCCGCGGGCGCGCAGCGCAGGGTCGAGAGTCGCCGCTCGCTCGGGGCACCCTCAACAAGTGGCCGCCGCGCCCTCCCCTGGGAAGCCGCGGGCGCGCAAGGGCGCCGGGCGGAGGCGGGAGCCGGGGACCCCGGCCGCGCGCGCGGCTCAGCGCTCACCGCAGCGGGATCGGGGCGGACGGATGGGGACCCGGCGGCGGCGGTGCGGCGAGCCTCTGGGCGGCCCAGGGGCGCGGGCTCTCCGCGGCGCTGCGCCCGCTGGCCCTGAACGCGGATTTTAAAAGCGGCTGCTCCCCCGGCCCCACCCGGAGCAATTGGGGTGCGAGAGGGGACGAAGCGCCCCCTCCTATCGGAGTGCAGGGCCCCCACCCAGGCCGGAGCTCGACCCCCGAGCGTGGGGTATGCGCCGCTAACGGTCCCGTCGGGCGGGCTTTCCTCGGGCGGAGCGCGCATGCGGTGCGCCCCAGCAATGGAGTGTCCGGGGAGACGGCGGGCATGACGGCTGCAGGATGGGCGCGAACAATGGCAAACAGTACGGCAGCGAGGGTGAGTGGGCCGCCCGGCCTGGGTTCCCGATCGCGCCCCTCCCTCCCCTCGCGCTCCCGTGTGGGAGGGAAGGTTCTCGCGCGCTGTCCGGCGCACCCCCTGGGCACCCTGTCCTGGCCATCGCCGTCCCCTTTGGCACCGAGTGTTCAGGCGCCCCGAGGATGCTTTCCCACCGTGGGGGTCTCTTTAAGCAACTTCCCAGGTTGTCTTTGGGAAGGCTCAAGTTGCGTTTCTGCCGAGTTTCTGAACAAACGTGCCTCAACTTTCCTTCCCCGGGCATCTGGGGTTTAGGGTGATGGTTTGGCAGATGGCGGAAGACGTTTTTGAAAAATAACGCTGTGAAACTTTCCCAGGCCTTTGTGCTCCTGTCCTCTGGATTTTCCCCTAGCAGAAAACTTTTGGAAGAAGTAGTCAAGTTTCTATTCTCTGCTCACTGCCCCTGGGCTAACAACTTCGAGAACCTGACCACCTATAGGCCCTGCGGGGCGATATGTGGCTGGGGGCTTTGTCTGGGCTCTCTCGGGGCTCAAGACGGGCAAAGGACCATCTGTTACGTAGGGCTGGAAATTGCACAGAAATACTGCCTGTCAAGTGGGAACTTGGAAGTTGGGGAACTTTAAACTCCACCTACTCCTAAAGGGATGATGGATGTGTGGGTTGGCTTCTCCCTCGTCCCTCCTTTCCCTCTTTGCATAAAACCGTATGGTTGTAACCCAGTTGATTAACAGCATGCCTCTGATAATGCATACTGCAAAGGCATTTTCTTTAGTTCAAAAGTTAGAAAAATTTGTCTTTCCTGAACTTGGCTGGAAGGGGCGTGGAAGAGACAGGGTGGGTTTTATAGCCTGCCCTCAGAGGACAGCCGGTTACAAACGGGGTCCAGCGCCTACTGACTGGTAGGAATGCAGAATAGCTATTCACCATATGGTGTCAGGGAAACTCCTATCATCCTGTTCAAAACTTGGAGTTGTGGCCACACAATGTGGATGTGTCTCCCCGTGTTTGTGTGTGTATTCCTTTCCAGCAGTGTTGTGAAATGACAGCAGAAACCAACGCAAAAAAAAAACATACCCACAGAACCTTTTGTTTAAATCATTCCTTCCCAGATCATGTATAGAATTCCACATACATATGAAATATATATAATTATATATAAATGATGTCCTTATTCTGGGCAGTTATGTGAGTTTTTTTCTTCCTGACAATACCATTTTTAAGAAAGTTAAATGGTTGTCTTTTTAGATAGAAAATGTGAAAGTATGCCAGAAAACATTATTGGAGAATCTTGGCCACTCCCCAAAACTTCTTAAGAGTTAACGTTTGAAAAATTTGTGGAAAAATGAAAGACTAAGCCTTCTTACTCTGAGTTATCACAGGCTTTCAGGGCGGGCAGTGTGCACTTGTCAATTCTGGGTGTGCGTACGTTATTTTCCTTGAACTCTGCGGGGCGGAAGGACACCCCAAGAGGCACAAGAGTCACTGCTCTGCGTTCTTGAGCAACCCCAACCCCCTTCGCTCGTCCTAATCCTCTGCAACTTGTTCTCATATCCCAGTGTTCCCGTATTGTACAGTGTGTGGTGTATGACGACTTCCTGTCTGAACAGCAGCGTTTTCAACCCTTGGGAGGGAAAAGGAGAGACAGAGAACTAATGTTCTCCAGCTGTTATACGTAAATGCTACCTCTGCATTTTCACTTCAGTTGAAGTGAAATTTTACTGGGATCGGATTTAGATACACTGTGGACTTGCCACAGGCAAAGCCTCTTGGGCTCAGCTGATGCAAGGGGACCAATAGGAAGCTTTGGGAGGTAACTGCGTTTTGGCTGGAGGGACACATTGTGCTTAGTTTTTTAAAATCAGTTTTCTTCAGATGCATCCCGAGGTTCCTCTGAGATAAGCAAGGAAAAAAGAGAAATCGAAGTAACGTGAACTTCTTAAAAAATATTTTCTCTCTCCAGTTCCCCTGGACCTCTCCTAAATAGAGTATGGTAAATGTAATTGAGTATGGTCAACTTTGTTAACACAGTGTTATGGAAATGTGTGACACAGGCATATTAGCCTGTTGGAATTTAATATGTCAGGGCCATGTCTCTTACCTAAAATGTCAATTTTCAAAGAAAATGACAGCAGCCCCTAGACACAGTATCTCTATTATTAAAGGAGACTGAGGATTAAGACAGTTTTGGTAGATTTAGTGCAATTGGGTATGGTATATTTAAAAAGATTATGAATGTGTATCTGTAGAATTCAGTGAGATAGCTCAGCTGTAAAACATTGCTGTTTGTGTATATGTACCTTAAAAATTTGCAAGTTAAGTATATTTTTCAGTCGACACCATCATGTAAATGTCAACCACCTTAACTTTAATAACAGGTGGTGGTGAGTTATTAGAAGGTTTAAAGCCTTGGTATTTCATATATAATCTCAGTTTATCCTGCTCCTGAATATTTCCTATATAATCTCAGTTTATCTTGCTCATGAAAAACATCTTTTTCATTAAAACAACAACAAATATATTATTCCTGAGGTTTACCTTAGCAGGTGCAGTGGATTCCTACTTCCTGTAATTCAAGGACCAGCACATTAGCATCACCTGGGAGCTTTCCAGCAACGTAGAATCTTGGGTTCCTCTTGGAACTACTGGTTTATTTATCATGTGCATGTTAAAGTTTGGGGAAGTTCTTGTGCAGGGTGAAGAGCATCGATTTGGGAGTCTGTAAATTTGAATTCAGTTTCAACTTATTGTCTGTGACCTTACTCAATTCCCCAGAAATCTTCCAGTCTTTCTTCTCCAGAAGTATCAGGAGAGTTTGTTATTGGCATTATTTGTCATGATCTAAGCCTTGAGATGTAGTCATGCATTTTATTTTGCTGTTATAATGCCTTAATGCACCACTTAATGGAGATTAGCCTTGGGAAGACATATCAAAATAAATAGGGCAGTATCTTGCCAATGGGTTTCATCCCCGGGCAAGTTTGCTATGGAATCAGTGTGACCAAAGAAATTGACAGCAAAATGGTCTTTGGGGTGAAAGGGTTTATTACCCGGCTTGTTCTCTCTATGGTAGGTTGAGCACTAGCATCTCTGCCTCCTCCCAGAGCACTGGGCCGAGCTCTCTATATAGCGCAATAATAGCTTATTGCCTAATGGCATGGAAGCGGCAGCCAAGCAACAGACCAGTTACATCATCAGGTGGTTTAAGCTCAGTGCGGATCCTGGTCATAGGAACCCCAACGTCCCCACACTCCACCCCTCCAGGATTCTTGCCTTACAATCTACACACTTTCAATCTTCCACAACGGTCCCTGTGCAAGAAAGCTGGAGCACTGTAACCAGATTCCACAATAGCAACAGAGGATAACAATAACTTAGAGATAATAAAAATTAAGATACAGCAAGATTTTGATACAAAATTATAATAATCCTCAAGCCAGAGGAGGTTCTTAATAACAAAAATTATAATAATCTACAAGCCAGAGGAAGTTCCCAATCCACAAAGACTTTAGGGGTGATAGGATACATGTTTTAATGTCACCAACATAGGTAAATTTTGTCCATCAGGTAGGATGCATGCAAGAGAGTGGTCCTGTGATAGAACTGTAGCAGGAAGGGGGTCCCTTCCAGGTCTAGTACACCATACTTTTACTCCTTTCCCCGTGGGGGTTACTGAAGGGACTATATATAGCGCCTACTGGAGGTGCATGCACTGGACACAATGATAAAACAAAACTCCCTGGTAAGATGCTCCTACTTTCTGGCCGTTCAGGATATACTACTGTGACCTTTGGCGGCCACTCTGCTGTTATTCCAGAAATACACAGGAAGCCAGCTTCCAGGCCTTGTCCCCAAGGTGCCAGGAGAGCCAGCCGTCGTTGGTCCATGTGTCGAAAGGTCCAAGGCCACGTTCACTCCATGGAGTCTCCGGAGTTCAGTGCAGTTGGTGCTGGCAGCAAGATGTTATTCTGGTGGCCAAACCTCGGCTTCAGTGATTCTTCCTTGGTTTGTACTTGCAGTTGTATAGGGGAGGCAGCCACCGTTGGTCCATGTGTTGAAAGGTCCAATGTGTTAACATGTCTACGGGGCTCAGAGCTCCCTTTCGGAGGGTCTCATTCAAATGCCGTAGCACAGTCCATAAGCAGACTGACCATCCCTGCAGACTATTGGTATCTGGCTTTAGTCTGGATTTTAACAAGCCACTGTGCCTCTCTATCATGCCTGCTGCAGTAGGATTTTACAGCACATGAAACTTCCACTTGATTCCTAGCTGTTGTACCCATTCTTGCAGTGTATGCCCAGTAAAATGGGTGCCCTGATCACTCTCAATCACCTGTGATCAGCATAGGCAGCAAAGAGACACTCCAGGCCTCTTTTGGTCATCTGCTGGTCTGCACAACGGGTAGGAAAAGCAACCAGAAGTCCAGTAGCTGTGTCCACACAAGTCATGGCATACTGATATCCTTCTGACACAGGTAGGAGCCCAATATAGTCTATCTCCCACCTAACGAGGGGTATAGGCCCCTTAGCTATTGTCTCATGTTGCTGTGGAACTTGGTGTAAGTCCCTTTTGGAGCACATGACACACTCCTGCTGGGCTCTACTAACTTCTTCGAAGGTCAAAGGCAAGCCCCACCGATGGGCTACAGGCCACATTGTCTTTTGCCCCACATGCAACAAATGCTGATGTAGCCATTGGGCTATATCAGAGGCAGGCTTTCCTTCTAGCCAACGTATCTGGGCCAATTTATCTGCCTCATCATTTCCTGGGGATGCCAGTGGCAAATGACCTGTCACATGGTACACTAATTATTTTAGTCTGATCACAGGCCCATAAGTCTTGCCATAATTCTTGCCCCCAAAGGGGTTGGTGACCAGCTAGTTGGCATGGTACCAGGTTGGTAGCTACAGGGTCAGGCCCCAATAGACAGCCCAGCTGTCAGTGCAGACAACTATAGGGGAGAGCTCCTGGCTGATCACAAGCCACACAGCCTGCAACTTTGCCC